TTGAAAAACCAGTTCCTTTTGGGTAGAATTCTTTGGCCACAATCTAAAACATATTTCTTTCTTGAAAATCAAATCCAGTAACCTCTGTGTTAGATCTGATTGTTTAATTGCAGATTGTTTTATGATGCTTTCAGAGTCTAGGGAATTGAGTTGGAGAGGATCAAAAAGGTTTTGTCTCCAACTTCTGTGTCCCCAAAGGCAGGGCCATCTGCTACTAACCCTCCCCCCCATAACCGTATCAGGCAGTCTTCTTGTATGCCTTCAATTCATTTCCGACTTATGCTGACCCTAAGGCAAAAATATCGTGGGGTTTTCTTAGCAAGATTTGTACAGAGGAGACTTTCCCCGAGGCTGAGACCATAGGACTTGCTCAGGGTCATCCAGTGGGTTTCATGGCTGAGCTGGGAATTGAACCCTGGCCTTCCAAGTCATAGTCCACTCAAACCAGTACACCATGCTGGCTAGGTAGACCTAAATACAACTAAGATTGTGAAATCAAAACCTCATGCAATAGAAACAGACAAAGAACAGGAGTCATATCAGGTATGAAGGACGTAAACCCAGGAGCAGACAAAGATGATCATCCCATTGTATCCCACAGCAACGGAAAGACAAGAGCTGAGGGTTTAATCTGGTCTTCTAGAGCCCTGCCTCAAACCAGCTGCAAGCCTTTAAAAACTAAATTGGAAGCTTTCTGGTCTCAAGATTCTTACTCCTGAGGAGTCTGGCACTTCTTTGCTCTTAGGGGTGTGTTTTGTCAATGAGAGGACACTTGTGCCAGCATCTTTTTGCACAGATAGCTTCTTGGGCTGTGTGGCCTCCTCCTGACATTATAGGCATGGCAGGTAGCTTTCGGGGCTTATTTGAGTCAGTTTCCAGTTCTGCTGTTGCTGAAGGGTCTGGTCTAGTGCAGAGATAAGAATTATGCTGTCCACTAAATGTTGTTGGATTGCAGCTCCTAGGATTGCTCACCATTGAATATGCTGGGACTTGCAGTCTGGAGAATGATGTGATGTTCATCTCTGTTTCTAGTATTTCCAAGTGCATGCATGTGCACGGGGAAACCTGTAGATTGCTGGAGTCATAGGAGCTTCAGTCAGGGCAAATTCAACTTCAGAAACTTCATCTGAAGGCAAGATTTCATTCCACAAGCAGAAATGAGATGGTTACCCAAAGACATCTGCAGAGCAAATGCAAAGTAGTGGATTCAAAACAGATTACAACTCTCATCATTGATGATGGAAGTTGCAAACCTGTGACTGTGCTGTTTGCGGATTATGGAAGTTACAGTTCAGCAGTTATGGAGGTTGCATGTTTAAGAAAAGCTGGAACCTTCCAGGGTTATCAGCCAAATAAGACTGAAGATTCCTTCCCTGGCTCATAGAGGGTTTTCTACCCGTGACAACTCTAAAAAAGGGTTGATGTTACATTGTCATTCAAGCAGAGCAATAGCATTATTAATGTTTTTTATTTGTAAAAGTGTCGCAATTTAAACCAAGCATTCTAATGGGCAATTGGAATAAATAACATACTGTTCTCTCAATTCATTTTTAAAAAAAGTTCTTTTAAAAAAATTGTTCCACAGCTGTGACATTAAAACCCTGGAGGGCAGGAAGATTTTACTGTTAGATAATTTTAGGATTTAATGAAGGACATTGCCAAAATTGAGAAAGGCTAGAAGAATTTTTAGATGCAGTCAAGAAAGCGAAGATGTCAGGAATTGTTTGGTTATACGTTGCTCATTGCACTGTATGTCAGGTCCCTGATGTAAAGCTTTGGTTTATTAAAAGTGGAAGACCGACAATTAATCAGATGGGTGACAAGCAAAGAAACATGTGACTGACTTCTGAAACAAGCTTTTGAGAAAATAATCTGGATTTGT